AACAACCCACAAATTGGTTAGATTAATTAGATGCTATGTCTACATGCATAATTATAGATCAAAAATACAACCTAAAATTGATTGTGTGTGTTTCTGTGTATGCATCATGCTAGCCATACACAGAAACTTTTTCAGATAAATATATTTGGGAATGTATACTATAGAAAATACACCCTTCCACGAACGAAACAATCGAGCCGTTTCTAAATCAATGACACTTTCAACAACGTGTTCATACGTCCGTAGAGAAAAAGAGCCATAAAGTTGTCGGAAAAATACACGTCTGAGCATAGCATGCACTGTATTTACGTCATTTTATCTCAGTTGAATTTCAATACGAGCATGGAGCTAAAAAATAGCTCCATGATACGAGTGAGTCACCCAGAGGAAATAGTGTCAGAACTCACGCCATGGGATATCAGATTCATTTACCCATAAAACCATGGGAACTCACCACACATCTCTTGCCAAGAATATTGAAAAGTTGTTCATTCTCTTGGTGTGTAAGTAGACTCGATGCAACGTTGGTGGGTGCTGACTTCTTAGATTGATTTTGTGAGTTCGACATATTATCAACACTATCAAAATTGTTCCAGCGTTGGTTTGAGTTGAATTCATACTCATTTCGAATACTCGTTTTGATTCCCTGTTTATTTTTAATATCAATAGTGCTCCTCGATTGAAAATAAGTGCTCAAAAAACCAAACATTTCATAAAAGTACTACAATATCGTCAAAATAATAATGAATATGGAGAGAATATGAACTGAAACCGTGAAAATATTTTCGAATTCGAGGTTAATGCGAATCCGAAGCTAACAGTAGCATCGGCGCTTCCGGTAAAGAATGTTTGTTGTCGGTCAGCTTCTCCAGCCTAGTCGACCTTGCGAACCCTGGCATGTTGTGAACCCTTCAACTGTAAATGCGAACGTGGCGATGTGAGGGACATCTCATTTAAAAGTTATGTAAAAGTTATTAAAAAACAATAATAATAATAATAATAATAATTATTGGGTTCAGAATATATAAGTATTCTTCAAAATTGTGTTTATTATTATTTTTTAATATGTTATTGTGTAATTTTATTTTGTGATTTTGTTGATATACCTGGGTTAATTAATATACTTTTCATACAAGATTCCCATTGTAATTTGGACAGACACTTCCAGAAATAGTTGTTTTGTATTGTTATTTATTACCAGATCTTTAACACGAATCCAGTATTTTATCATTTTTTATATCTATTATTATTTGTTGGATATATATTTAGACCAAGCAATTATATTATGAATTTTAGATGATTTTTTTTCTATACTTACCTGGATTATCAACTTCACGTTCCTTAAAAATATGTGACAATAATGTGAAGATAATGAAAACATCTTCCTTGATACTTTAGTATTAAAAATCTTCAATGATTTACTGTATATCAACTGATGTAGGGGTCGACCATTTGAAATCATGAGGGAAGGCTGAAAGATTTGTTTTTTTTTAAAATTGTGGCACATCAAAGGGAAATAAAACATGTACAGATAAGACAGCGTGAAAAAAATAAAACAATGAGTAGTCCAAATTGAATATAGAAAAATAATTACAATATGTAATTATAACTGTCTAATAAAATGGAGCAAAAATCAATTTATTCTCGCAAAACAAAACATATACATTTTTTTAGAAAAGGGCAAGTTTCATAATATTGCAAATATTTTTAAAAACATTATTAACGATGATGAGCTCCGCGTTAATTTACGGTATTTATAATGAATTCGTCATCTGGAATTTTCAATGTATAATGTATTAAAGTAAGTTTATTGCTTCCACACACCAAAGGAATGAACGTGCACGAAACCTTGTGATATAAATTAGGTTTCGTTTTTCTGTAAAATCTTGGAAACTCATGTATCTTTAAAATGTTGAGCTTCATCATCAATTCCATTATATTTAAAAAAAAAAAACATATAACTTTTACTTCATTCCATGATTGTTTCTGTAGAATAATCATTATACAATTGCTTTCCAGATTCTGCTGTGATTTTTTAGAGGGGCTCTCCTTTGTGATACACAAAGAGGCTCGAACCAAAATTGATTAATCAAAGAGTCTGGAACCAACACTCCCGGACCAGTACGCTGTGGGTTTCGTCGCAGTTTATGATCCCGCCCTCAGCGGTGCTTTTTATAGCATATAGAAACGCTTTTTTGAGGCATCTTGCAAAATCACTATATAGCTCAGCAGATCACTATCTGTGTATCTGTGTATCTGTGTATCACAGCTTGGTGTGTGTCACTTTCCGTATTGTGTCCATGTAAGAGAAACACATCCGTCTATCTATAACTGTGGGATGGCGACATAAATCCCATCTGAGTGTTAATATTGCATACTGCATTGAATGAAATGAACAATTTTTATGAAGCAACATCTTCGCCAGCCGAGGTTCATTTATTCGGACGTCTCACCTGGTCTCACTGTAGGGACTGCCAAAGAATTTTGTATTAAATATGAATGTCATTAGTTCCGTTCGGAAGTAGCCCGAAAACCGGGACTTATAATTTCACCCCTGTGCGTTTGTGCGCCCGTCCGCATCTGTAAGTCAGACATACCTGGGCACGTACAATTGCTCTGAAGGAATTAATAATAATAATAATAATAATAATAACAACAATAACAGCGGTAGTATCGACCGACGTGAATGGTGGTCGAATGATAACAAATTTAGTGCTAAAAATCATCAAAGTCACCCCGGGGCAGTTGATACATAGCTGGGTAGGAAGGTGCCCCTAAGTGCTCAAAAGTGTGACCATTTTTATACCTGGCAAAATCTATACCCATATTTATACCAAAGTCACTCAGAGGCTGTTTATTACAAATAAAACAGTTACCGTATTTGCTCTATTAGAAGAGCATCTCCAATAGAAGCACATGTTTCACTGAGAAATGTGCGCCTTTATTTCGTGTTAAATCTCCGTTTAAATGTTGATTGCCTTGTTTAATTTCTGGGATGATGGATATGGTGGAGATATTCGCTCATATAAGTATAATTGACACATTTGTTTCCTTCATAATCCATTCTAATTTTTGTCAACAAATATTGACATTCCAAGCCAGTTTCTATTCAATGAAATTACCTCTTCTGTTTACCGGTAATCTTAATAGTATATACCAGTAGATGCCATATCAAGGGAAACATTCTTTCCAGTATTTGTGTTGTGATCGTCATTTTTGAGAGTCCCAAGCCATTTCTTGGAGATGACTAGGCCAATTTGGATCAAAGTTGGTTGAACATAATACACATCTCCTTTTTTTCAGTGATTCGTCCAAATATGGTTGATTTTCTATTTTAGGGTGTACATGCCAGTTTCCTTTTTAATGCAATGACTGTCTCTATTCTATATTTATAAAAACATCATGCACTTCAAGTTTCTTTACTTTCATTTGTGGTCTTTGTTTTTCTTGTTGTTGAGCACATAGACAATGACGGGGACTATGTCATTATCAATGATTTTTTTTTAATTGATTTCAATAAATATATTTTTGGGTAACAGTATAATTTTGTGTTTATATTCATTTAACACTTTTTATTTTATTTTTAGGATATTTTGATTCACCAATGTAAAACATCTCTGATAAAATAAAAAGCGAGTGTTTACAATTTGCATTGACAGGCAAGTTGCTTTATTACCATGATATAAGTGATATAGATGTTTGTAAAGTGCATCGAATTACTTACATGGTATGAGAGATCGTCACCAACGCAGTCCTTGCAGCACATCATGTGGTGGTGTGAAGTGAAAATGCATCATGCAATACATATACAACAATTAAATAAAACTAATTAAATTAAATAACTGATGCATTTCTCGTTGGTATCAATCAAGCATAACTAAATAGTCCCAGGAGCATACTAAATGTGCATTGTCTGCGTTGAGGTCTCTGAGCATTGACACATGCATCCACACTTTGTGTTGAATTTAAATTAAGAAATGTAATTGTAATATATGATTAAAATCAGATATAAGTATAGGCTTAAATTTTTGTTTATTTATCTATAATTTTCATATTTATTGTTATTTCAGTTTCTTTATAATTATTTTTTTAGTTTTACCTAATTTTTATATTGTATCTAAGGCAGCAAGTAACACCAAAAAAAAAAATCCTAAAAAAAATAACAGTAACTTACTTGCGAACACATATATTTTATTTCCAGTCTTTAGTTTTCTTGTTCATTTGCATAAAAAAGGAACATTTTTTTGACTCAATTACTGCACTTCAATACTTGGAATTATGGACATGTAGAAATTAAATTTGTCTTGCCCAAAACAAGCCCAAGATGTAGACCCTTAGGCACAAGTCTTTACTTGTTCATAGAAATTTAGGACAACCTCATTGGGAAAAAAGTTCTTGGTATTTGGCCGATGATGGAAAAAGAAATACATCATACAACATATACTACTGTAACATTCCACGAACATAACAGTATATATATTTACCAGTTTTGAATATACATTACATTGTATTTGATTTGTTCCCTCAATATTATTGTGATCATCCTGTTCAATATGGGACTCATAGTAATATATACAACTTGTATGTAAAAAATATTGTTTCCATGGAAATTCAAACACACACTGCGTGACAACCACCACCCTTATGCATTATAATTTTCTGTGTTATTTATAGCACAGATATGTCATGTATTTCCACGCTTAACTTACTCACAATACAGTGTGGTTAAAAACAATTTGACAATTACTAATAATTTAACCAGTGTTATGTTATTTTGTCAAATATTTTGTATTTAGGTATTATTAAGTGATGCTGTTCACTATTGAGGAAAATAAGGGCAAGAAATGAACATGTTTGTAGTATTGGCTGAAACATTTGTCAAGCATCTTTAGCAAAAATTTCATCGTATTACATCATTTGCAAGTTTTACAATTGTTGAGTATTACTGTTTGACAATTTCCAAATTGTGTTAATACGATTCACCAGCATCCAAAACAAAAAAATACTGTAATGTTTTTACACAAATGTTGGCACAATATTTATCCTGTACAAATCTGACTGGCTAAGAGTATGGAAATATGCAGTGTTCATACACACCTTTTTTAATGAATCATCTTGTCACCCCAGGATTCTATCTATGTCGTTTTTGGTCTGGCAACACTAGGTTTTTGTAACCGCACCATTTTGTATATTTTGGCCAAATAATTGTCAGGAATTATTAAGTGAATGTTATTTACAAAATAACTGGTTATGAATTGTCTATTTTGGAAAAATGTTTTGTACTCAATGTAGAACCAACTTGTGACCATATCGGTAATTATAACTTAAAATCTCAGTTTTCTACCTTCCCAAATCTCCTTTTACATACATGTAAAAAACATGTCAAATACAGGGGAAGAGGAATTGATGACTTTACACAAATTCCTCATGCTAGGAATATCTAAGCTATGCACTTCTTCTAATTGAACAAATATGGCATGTCAGGAATATTTTAAAAACACAGTAAAATGTTACTGGTCAATTTGTTCCCAAATCAATGTGCACACATTTTATGATTGAGTTTTCGAAAATTTTGACAAAATCTTGTGAAATGCATATTTTTGACTTTTACTATTTTTTGCCTGGGCATCAGATGATCAAGAGTTGAAAAGAAGGAACAGGAGAATGCTATAAATTGTTCAAGAACACTAAGCATTTTATTGCATTCATTTCTCCAAATTTAAATAACATTTTTTTAAAGAATGAATAAAGGTTATTTAAAAACGTTTTCGCAAACATTATGTACAATCAAGCTCAAAATGTATGTAGAAAGACACTTCATGAAGCTAAAAAAAGTGGACGGGATCAGTCAGTTCCGTGGAACTCCTCATCAGTCCTGCAACAAACAGGACTGTACAATGTATAAAAATAGACGTCTCCACAAGATGGGATAAAGAGAAATTTGACCTTAAAATATGAACATTAAATGATTATTTTATCTGAAAATTCTTAAAGCTACAGTAGCACGCTTTTATGAAATGCGTAGTAAAACGAGGTGAATTACATAAGGATACTGATTTTGGAAAAAATTTTATACACCCAAATATTAACAGAGAAATGGTAATACAAATAATTTTCACAATATATACGAGCACAGTCGTGTGTGTATTCAAATTTTGTGTAAATAAACACATTTCTTAAGCTACAAGACAGACCAATAGTTTCATTTTTGCACATGACAAAATGTAAAGATGGGTCACCGACTTTGTTAGTATAAAAATGCTCATTACGAATTTCAAAATATGTTGCAATGAAAAAAGTAAACGACTAAATCACAAACATTTAATCTCCTGATACAAGAGTAAACAGTGAGTCGTACTGAACATTTAGTTCAATTAAATGAGTTTAATAGAACAGCACAAACAGCTTTGCAGAGCATAAATAAAGGTAATGGTCAATCTTGAAACTTTTTCTAAAACTAATAACATTTCAACAGTGCATTGAAATCCAAAACTAATAGTACTAGTGGAAGGGTTCTGTATTTGGTACTGTAAATTTAAACTAGTGAACTGCCTACATAATGAAATATTGTAAATATAATATTGAGATACCACTGTACGACAACAATGAAATATCGTGGGTCACCATTTGACATTCCCATCCAGTCCCTTCATCACATCACTACATTGAGTTTGATGTGAGGCACCACATACAACATGTACTATACAGCAACTGTGTGTTTTAGTTCAATTATCTATTATAATGTACAAAATAATTGAACAGTCGCATTAAGCAGTTAGGATGTTTTATATTACAGACTTACAGCGTACTAATGATTGGTTGGCTGTACACAAGTTGTGAGTGTAGTAAAAATGTATTCAGACATAATTACAGATTTGTTCAAATATAAACTAGGGAGGTAAATAACGTCCCTGTATAAACTCTCCTGAACAAAACATGCATTTTGCATGTGGTAGAAAAAGTACATTTCTTGAAATGTAACCTAGGTCAAATGACCAAATCAGTACAAATTGTAAAGTCATTACCTACTTATGACATGTGTAATCCACCTCAACACTTTCACCACTCTAATTGTTGGGTTCAAAAATTATTCTGAATTTATGAATTAGTCTGCTATAGACAGACTGTTCAACAATGTTTATAAACATTTAAAAAAAGTCAAAGTTGATAATGCTGGCTAATGTTGAAATGGCTTAAGAAAGCATAGTACATGTAAAAACAAATTTTCAAACCACAAAAATTACTTTTACAAACCTCAAAAAATTAGGGTATGCAAGATTTGCAAACAAACTTGTTAGGAAATGGATTTACAACTTACTTGATGAAATTCAAATAACTTTGACAATCGTAAGAATTTAGTGTGTTTTCTTTGTTTTGTCACACCAATGCCATAGAACTGTTTTTTCTTGACATGTTTATGATTTGATGGCAATACAATCATAGAGCTTTAAAGAAGCAATGAATAGAAAATATCTTTTCAAAACAAGTTTGCTGTCAAATTATGTACAATTTATTTGGTAAAATTTAAGTCAACTATGCACAACGCCTTTTTAGTACTTGGAAAGCCTTATCCTTTTAGATTTTCAAACTGAATAATAGTACTCTCAAGATACTAAACTCTATGTAGGTACATTATTTACATAATACAATATATTTAATCTCTAGAACTTACACAAGTTACTACACTTTGGCAAAATCCAAAAAGTGAGGTGTTTTTATCATTTTTTTCAAAAGAATGAAAAAAGGAAATGCAAAAAACTGCAATCTTAAAATAAATGGCAGTCGCTATAATGTCATGGCTAGATTCTAGAAGTATTAGATACTGTAAGCATTTATTCTTTAACTGGTGTAAATTACTTTCAAGAATAGAAATATAGCACCACAAAATCTATGGTTTTAAAAGTACATAAAAGGATGAACCAAACAACTGAACATACACACTTCTGAAGAATTGGCAATGAGTTAAATATAGCACCACACAATCTATGCTAAGTGTAATAAATCTTTTTGATGAAAATGGCATCAATGTTAGTCCTTAAATTAATTAAAACTAAACATTCATAATTATAATTACAATATGTACATTCTATTTATTCATGTTTAGACTGACCACAACATACAGATGTTACATGCTTTCAAATTGGTGACTCAATACTGATCAGCAACAGTTAAAGAAAAAAAATCTTTTATTCAGCAGCCTGCTCTGTTGCTGGTGCCTCTGTAGCTGCAGGTTCATCTTCTAGTTTAACATCATCTGCATTCTTTATCTTCTCTGTTGGAATCAAATCATCAATGGCTTCACCAGCAATCAGCTTCTTCTCCATCTTTATCAATAGATTGACCCCGTTGAGGACCATTTGTACTAGTTCAACTTCAGAGTAGCCAAGACGATCTGCATTTGAAACATCAAAGATACCATTGGTAGAAGCTGTATCAACACCACCAGTGCCACGTTTCTGTAGACGGAGGTTATCCAGCATGTCATTGAACTTCTCATGCTTGCACAGATTTTCCAGTTTAACATGTACCCCTGCACGAAGACCCGTACCCAAGTTAGATGGGCAAGTCAGCACGTAGCCCAAATGCTCATTCCACATGAATTCTTTACCAGATTTCTTTATGGAAGTTTCCACTTTTTGGAGGCCTTCACAGAATCGAGTAAACACACTACGCATATTTCCACCAGTTTCCATTGAAATGACACGAGTGTGGTCTTCTTCATTGACCCAGACAAGAAAGTTCTTGTTATTGTTGTGCCAGATACCACGTGCATCAGGCCAATCACGTGCCATATTTGAGGATAGAAGAAGAGGAGATACTGGTTTATCAAACAAAAAGTGATCTTCAATAAGCTTTTCTTGATCTTTGACAGACATGTTATTCAAAGGATAATATTTTCCCTTGAGTGGACCATCCAGGGTTGCTAATGCAGTGGTAACCAACTTTTCAACAGCTCTGCGCTCTGCCCTGTTATTATGGGGTGGCAAAGGATAACCTCTAATGCAACGACCAGTGCGGACACGAGTCGACAAAACGAATGCTTCATCAAAGACACCATCACCTTTGAGATTGTCAGGATTCAGATCAGTCTTGTGTTTAGCATCTTTTCCATAACCACCATGTCGGGCATCAATGATTGGGTCAAAGAAATCAGCAAACACATCATAACTTTCTTCATCACCTGCAACACAGCCCACAGTCATAATGAATGGATGACCAGGGTTGTCCACACCAGTTTGAATGCAGTCGTCCAATGTAAAACCGGAACTAGTCTTCTTATCTTTCAGGGAGTTGTACATTTCCTCAGTCAGACACTTGGACATGAAGTTATTATGCTTGGAGAGATCTGGGAAGTTACTACTGAAGACCTCTACTTTCTTCTTGGGTTTTGCAGCTTCTGGCAGGAGCTCATCAATAGATTCATCTTTCTCAAGTTTCTTCTCCATTGCAACCAATAGATTGACACCATCAACAACCATCTGTACCAATTCTACCTCAGAGTAACCAAGACGATCAGAGTTTGAGATGTCAAAGGTACCATCAGTAGAAGCAGTATCTACACCACCAGTACCGCGCTTCTGAAGGCGCAATGCATCCAATATGGTGTCAAACTGCTCATGTTTGCTAAGTTTCGGTAATTTGACATGAACACCTGCACGCAGACCTGTACCAAGGTTAGAAGGACAGGTCAATACAAAACCTAAGTGTTCATTCCACATGAATTCTTTGCCTTGATCTTTAATGGCTGCTTCTACTTTGTTTAGACCCTCACAGAAACGAGTGAAGACTTCTTTCATGTTTCCATTACTTTGCATGGAAATGACACGTGTGTGGTCTTCCTCATTGACCCAAAGTAGAAAGTTTTTCTCGTCATTGTGAAAGATACCACGTGCATCAGGCCAATCACGATCCATATTTGATGCAGTTAGCAAAGGTGAGACTGGTTTATCGAACAAAAAGTGGTCTTCAATCAGTTTGTCTTGTGTTTCAGAAGTCATACCCTCTAATGGATAATAAGTGCCTTTGTATGCACCATCTAACTTGGCCAAAGCTTCGGTTGTGATCTTCTCTACTTCCTTTCTCTCTTCTTTAGTGCAATGGGGTGGTAGACTGTATCCTCTTATACTACGACCAGTACGTACACGACAAGACAACACGTATGCTTCATCAAAGGCCTCACCCTTGAGGTTTTCTGCATTTAGATCGGTTTTATGTTTGGCATCTTTTCCATACCCGTTGTGGCGACTATCTATAATTGGATCGAAAAGGTCAGCAAACACCTCATAACTCTCTTCATCACCGGCAACACACCCAACAGTCATAATGAATGGATGACCGGGGTTCTCAACTCCAGTACGAATAACCTGCTCCAAAGTAAATCCACTAGGTGTTTTCAGATCTTTCAGCTTCTTGTATATCTGAGGTGTCAGGCAATTAGCCATATGATTGTTGTGCTTAGATAAATCTGGGTAACCAGCAAGATCAGGATCACGTTTGGCACCAGGAACAAGATCATCTATTGCTTCACCTTTCTCTAACTTCTTTTCCATTTCAACAAGTAATTTGATACCATCAACAACAAGCTGTACTAGTTGGACTTCAGATTTTCCTAAACGATCAAGGTTAGACATATCAAAGATACCATCAGTTGACTCAGTATCAACACCACCAGTACCACGTTTTTGTAAACGAAGCTTCAACAGAATATCATCAAACTTTTTATGCTTGCAGAGGTTGGGCAGCTTGACATGTACACCAGCACGAAGACCAGTACCCAAGTTGGATGGGCAGGTAAGCACATAGCCAAGATGAGGATTCCACATGAACTCGTATCCCTTCTCCTTGATTGAAGCCTCCACTTTGTTGAGCCCATCACAGAAGCGAGTGAAAACTGCTTTCATGTTACCACCCTTTTCCATGGAAATGACACGAGTGTGGTCTTCTTCATTGATCCATACAAGGAAATTCTTTTCGTCATTGTGAAAGATACCACGTGCATCAGGCCAATCACGTGCCATTCTTGATGCAAGGAGTAAAGGAGATACTGGTTTATCAAACAAAAAGTGTTCTTCAATCAGCTTTTCTTGTTCTTCATCTGACATACTATTGAGAGGAAAGTATTTACCTTTCAGTGAACCATCAAGTTTACCTAGTGCATCTACACAGATCTTCTCCACATCTCGTCTCTCTGCACGTGAGCATTGTGGAGGTAAAGCATATCCACGGATACTACGCCCAGTACGCACTCTTGAAGACAAAACATAATTGGGATCCAAATCATCTCCACCACACAAATGATCAGGATTGAGATCAGTTTTGTGCTTAGCATCTTTCCCATAACCATTGAAACGACCATCGATGACTGGGTCAAGTAAATCAGCAAATGTCTTGTAGCTTTCTTCATCACCTGCTACACACCCAACAGTCATGATAAATGGATGACCAGGATTGTCCACACCAGTTTGAATCAACTTGTCTAAAGTAAATCCAGATTCTGTCTTGAGATCTTTCAACTTTGCATAGATGGCAGGTGTCATGCATTTAGACATCCAGTTGTTATGCTTTGATAGATCAGGATAGTTGGGACCAGCTCTGCAATCAAAAAAATAATAAAAATTTAGTGACACAATGAAAATTTAAGTTTATATTGTATATATCTTATTTGCTCTTTATTACTAGCACATATCATTATGTAAATAACAGAGAATGTCTATGGTCAAAACAAAATTGTATTTGTATTCTAAACACAGTTTTTTTCTTATCAGGTATCAGGATTTATAACATTTGTGAAGACAAATTCTGTGAAAATTTGACTCTCACAAAATCCAAACAGTTTACAGTATACTAAAATCATTTGCTTAACATGCTATCATCTACTTGTAAATAGTTAAAGTTACTAAGCTTAATAGGTTTAAATTTGTGACAAAATGTTATTTTATTCAATATTGTGAAACTGCTCCAATAATAGCACACAT